GTCAGATCCAACTCCACGGCAGCGAGTTTGGGCTGTTTTTTTTTTTTTTCTTTTGTAGTACCATTTGCTGTTGAATTAATTCCAACTCCTGTGACCCCACGTATCAGACTAAAACTGTGCTCCACTGGGGTTTCAGTGGCTGATTTTTCAGACGCAGATCACAAGGCCTTTCTTCCATGGCACTTTTAGGTACATTCAAACCTCCAACCTTTTGGTTAGCACCAAATGGGTTAACTCTTTGCACCACCCAAGGACTCTTGACTATCCAGATATTTAGTAGTAATTGTCTACCATTCCCTGTAGCTGAATCAGGATGCTTTGTTCAGATTTGCTTATTGCATAGTCCAGGTGAGAATCTCAGTAACAAAAAGCTCAACTCTTTTCTTCTTCTACATTAGCATAATAAGATAGTTGTCAGACCCACAGGATACACTTTAGGGGGGTTTGGCCCAAAGATTTCTAAAATTGGTCTTTGAGTAATGAATAAATCTACTGCCCACTCTTAAGTTCTTAGATCTTTATAAGGGGCAGAATGGCCATCAGTTTGATGCAAAATACAAGAAGGAAGTTGTACCTCTTCATCTCCCTGCCAAACGAAGAGCTGAAAGGATGTCAACTGATAGCAGGCATTGGCCCTTTAGGTGACTGTACTAGATTTAATGGCATTTCTGACTGACCAAAAATATATATATAAATAGTTAATATTTGTGTAAGCAGAGTGTAAGCTCAGATAAAGCTTGATGCTTTGCACACTCCCTCTCATAACAGTTGTGACAAATGAATGTGTGTGTGTGCATGTGGTGCACAGGGAAGGTATGGGTGGGCTGGGGTGAGGGTGTAGAAATAAATATAGGACTTCTAAAGCTGTGGTTCTGCACCTGGCATGTGCCCGACAATCACCTGGAGGGCTTGGTTAAAAATTCTGAGCATCTGGGATAGCAGGGATGGGGAAGAGAGACCAGACATGAGATGGAGGTGGGGGTAGGAGAGAATGTGTGTGCAAGGTGGGGCAGGGGGGACAGTGCTGAGTTATGCTTTGAGTTTCAGAAAGCATTGTAGGTGCTTCTAGGCTGCCTGCATGACACAGACAATTATTACTACACTCAGTTGCTAACCAAATGGCTGGAAGTTTGAGTCCACCCAGATGCACCTTGAAAGAAAGGCCTGGTGATCTAATTCTGAAAAATGAGCCATCAAAAACCCTATAGAGCACAGTTCTTGATTTGGAATTGACTTGACAGAAACTTTTTTTTTCCACAGATATCCTCTGAGGAGGGCAGTTCACAGTGCTCTGTAGATACTGCTCCAGGGTGCCTGGAAAAGGAGTATCGTGAGTAGCAGGAACTAAGAGTGCTTGAGCTCCCAGGCCTGAGCTCATATGTATATGGCCATATGATCTTCACAAAAATCTCTGTGAGAAAGCACTCACAACCTCAGTCTCAGGATGAAGAAGCTGAGGTTGAGCCTGTCCTAACACAGCCAGTAGGTGCCAGAACATGGATTCAGGCCATTGCTGGTTGACTGCAGATACCCGTTTCTTTTCCCTTCACCATATCAGGAACCCATGTAGAGCCAGGATTCTCTTCTTTGTGGAAGTCTAATTCATTCTCTTGGGGTTATTTGTTCCCTCATTAAGTTCATTGAAACTCCTGTGTAACACTTATCATGATTTAAAAAAAAAAAAAAAAGCCATGATCAGGAAGAACTATCTACTTTCAAAGGCACAGTGCTCTCAAATTGCCTTAGATTGATTTTTTTTTAATTTTCAGTTTTTACCCAGACTCCTAAATAATTGAGAACATTTATCTCTCCACAAACTAAAGACACTACTTCTCTCTCTCTTTCTCTTTTTTTTTTTTCCAGACTTTTAGAGATATGGACATACCTCTGTTGCCCTCTCTTTTTACACAGAATCTCTTTAAGAATCTTGCCTCTCAGAGAATAAAGCCTCTAAAAGTCAAAAAAGACTCAACAAAAAGCTGAAGTCTTGCACCAAAAGTTTGCACCAGGATCAGGGGCTTTGTAAAGTCGTTAGGACACTTTGTTTCCCCCATCTTTTCATGAGTATAGGTAGATATTTGTGGGCTCTGCGCTGATAGGTGAAGTCCTTGGTGAATTGAAGACTGCTTCAGAGCAGGTGAGGCTGAGATGCAGTCTTTGTTTCATCTCAATAGCAATAGTGAGAGAGTAAAACCATTAAAGGCAGCTTTTCACTTTCTGGAAATGGAATTAATTCAAATTAAAGATAATTTGGCCAAATTCATAGAAAACAATAAGTGCAAACCTGAAAAAATGAAGAATAATTTTGCATGTTTACATTCCCCCTAGCAAAACTAACATTCAGTCAGACTTAATAAGGGACGTCATGTCATTAGCAAAGAACATTCATTCTCCTGAAGCAAATTCTCAGAGGACATGAATAAGATATGACTCCTAGTTATTTCTAGTGGGAAGTCATTTTTGTCTTAGGTTCCTCTATATATAAATTAATGTCATCACCTAGGAGTTGCCTTTTATAACACATAATTTTTTCTGTTGGAACCACTGGAAATTTTAATAATTATTGAAGTACTTATTGTTTGCAAAGAATAGATAAAAATTCTCCTAATCTGCTTCTGTAGTGATACCACTTCAGAAACCCAAGGAGGGGTCACTATGAGTCAGATCTGACTCCACCGGCAATGCGATTGGTTTTCTTGGTTTTTGGTTTAGCAAGACACTTATGTCATGAAAAAAAAAAAAAAAAAAAGACACTTGGCCAGGAAATGTTTTCCCCAGAACTTTGCATGATGGAGAAAGTCTGCCAAAATTTATTTTTGGACAGTAATTTGCTTCTGTTTTATTTATTTGCTTATTTATTCATGGATTCATTCTGAAAAAATCTCATATGTTAGGAAACGGGTAGTGAAGAGCGTTTCTGTTTGCAGCTATTTTAAGACATGAGTGCTTACCTCTTTTGCAGCTGCTCCTTCCAATCTTCCCCTCTCCCTCTCATACCACCCACAGACCCTCAGGAAGACTTTCTCAACCCCAACCAATCTTACATTAAGATAGTCTGGAGAGGGTAGTGCCTAAGACATTTGACTGCCAACCAGAAGGCTGGCGGTTCAAACCCACCAGCCACTTCTCGGAAGGAAGATTGGGCAATCTACTTCCGTGGAGATATCACCTTGGAAAGCTAAGGAGGGGTCATTATGAGTTTAATCCACTCAATGGCCATGAGTTTGGTTTTGGTTTGGAGAGCTTTTAAAAGATCCCACCTTATGCACGGAATATCTCAATCTCTGCAGGACAAGCCCTAGCAGAGATATTTTGTGAGTCCTGCCCTGGTGGTTCTGATGTAAAGCCAGGGTTGAGATTCACTGCATAGACTAGGAAGAAGCTGTGAATGGAACTCAATGTTAGCTCTTACCTGCATCATTTTCCTTCCCCAGTCTCAGAATCTTCATTTTTAAAATGATTATTCAATCCATTATCTCCTCACCATACAAAATACTAGAAAACATCGATCAATATCCAGCAGAAAATACTTAGAAATTCAATATCAGACAAATACCTGAATATTATTGATGATGCTACTAAAAATAATATAGTAAAACTCGTGTAAGCCAGACAGCATAATACGGACACCTGTCAGAGAAGGAAAATGCAAATATTTTCGACTAAAATGAATGATACAAAAGTGGTAAAACTGTGAAGGTGGAAAGCTTTTAAGACTTAGAAAACAAAGGTAGTCCTGTAATAGTATAGACGGATTAGTATTTCTAGGAGATGAATATATGTTCTAACTTCATAATCTTAACCTCCATATTAATCTTGTTCAATTTAAATATTGCCTTATTCTACTACTCATAGCCATAATCATGTAAGAATCCTGCTCCTGCCACCACATTCCTAAGATCATAAAACCAAGACAGGAACAGCTCACAGGACAGGCCAACCACATTCCTCAAATCCTGAGAGCAACTAAGGGACACTGTAAAAGAAATAACACAAATGTAAATTTACTGCTTAGATGGCATCTCCTGATACAGGCCACTCTTGAGCTGTTTTCTAGACCACTAGCTGTGGTCTGCATTAACCAGTTTTGGACCCGGCATCCCTCTGTCCTCCTTTCCAGCCTGATGAACTAAGACAGCCAGTCTAAGATGGGACCAAAACTCAAACCAAGAGCAAGCAGCACAATACACTTTTGCAGAAGTCGTGACATCCATGTTGAAACACACAGACCCCATCTTAGAGACAGATTGTGCCTGCACCTAGCCTGAAGGAAGCTGAGGGTTATCATTAGGAATTTATCACAGCCTTGTTCTGCTTCCTGACTTTCTCAAAAGGGTTAGGATTTTACGAGTATCCTGCCTGCAGAAAGTCTTTTGAAATCACATATCCCGCAACCTTAAAACTATTATAAAAACCCCTAGCCTGCAAGGCTCTGGGAGACACACGTGGCATTGCTTTTGGCCCCAAGCGTCTCCACCTTGCAAAGTTACTATCCTCTTATTAAATTTCTCTCTGAGCTACAGGTGACTTTCTAGTCATTATTTCAGAACTCAACCTACAACAGTCCTGGTGAGTTCCAGCTCTCAGAGCTTTCACTATATTAGCAAAATATTATTATTATGCTACAGAAAACAAATGGCATCTATTTGACCAATCCCGTGCATGTTCACTATAGGCAAAATAAAAAGATTAGTAAATGAGAAAGAAGACTGAAAGTTCACATTTGCAAATAAATATCTCTAACATACAGAAGGGCTATAGAATGGCTTATGTAAACATTTCCCTTTTACTGAAAAATGTTCTCTCTTTACTTGCAATCTGTAGACTCCTGAATGACTTTTTGTATCCCAAATATGGGAGTTATTTTACCATAATGTATTGCCTTCCTCAACACTGAAAGATTTGCATTTGATTTTGCCTTACTGAAGTAAATGCCTATAGAATCCATTAAACTCTTTAGAACATGCCCCAGTAACTGACCCCAGTTCCATTATACTGACCAGATTGCAATCTTCTTGCATTCCATTTGTCCTTTGTGGGCACCCAGTTTTCTCCAACAGTGTTTTCATGAGACTTTTTGAGTGGTTCAGGGGTGGGTGGTCACCAGCAGAGAGAACTCGTAGTACATCTGACAGATAGCCTGGACTCCAAGTGCTACTGCTGCCCTGGGTTGAGGGATTTTCCAGCTGAGTTTCTACCACAAGGCTGAGTAGAAGCAAAAATGGCATCCAAAATATTGAAAACTTTGTCCAGAAACACATTTCTACTCTTCCTTTAGCTTGAGTCTGTCTTGGATGGAGATGGAGTGGATTGTTGATCACAGTGTAAACTTACAACCTTAGAAATTTCTGTGGTGAAGGAGAAAAATAAAGACTTCAATTATTTCACCTGCAACATGTTTGAAAGGATTCAATTAATTGGCTGGCTAAGCTGATTTGCAATGACAAGCTGTTTCTAAACAACAGGGGGTCTGTAGGTATTTTATAACCCTAAACAGCAGGAAACTACCAGGGCTGTAGACTTCCAAACTGTAGAAGATTAGCTAAGAAACTTATTTTATTGTCTGTCTTTGAACTATGTATGTTGTTGTTACTCTTAAGTGCCGTTGAGTAAATTCCAACTCATAGCAACCCTATGTGGCAGAGTAGAACTGCCATTACAGTTTCCTAGGCTGTAATCTTTACAGGAGCAGAGTGCCAGGTCTTTATTGAGAAGGCAGGCTGGTGGATTTGAAACACAGACCTTTCAGTTAGCAACCAAGTGCCTAACCATTACACTAGCAGCATAATTAAACCATGAACTAAGCCCAGAGACAAAAATTAGAAAAAATAAGTTTCTCAGTTTATCCTATAGATGGTACAAATTGTAGGACTCAACAGAGGAAACACTCAATTATCTCATTGCAAAGTAGAATTCCAAGGGATTTGTGTTCTTCATGATTGAAGTAAGTGAATAAAAGTAAAGAGAAAATAAACTCTACTAAATTACCAACATAATGTTGTTAGAAAGTTTTAGACAATGTAGGGTGTTAGAGGAAAATAAGCATTCCTAGGAATTCACTGTTAATTTTATTAGGTTACTAAGAAGCAAGACTCTGGAGTATGAAATGTCTTAGGAAAATTTGAGAATTTCAGGACCTTACCAGTCATGACAAGTCCAATTACTCACAGGTCACTAAAGGGGTGGGGGGACATTTTGGAGCCAATCGATGTTCTGGAAAAAACAATTAATCTCTGCAACTAATTGCTTAAGGAACACCAAATGTTAACAGCATCTCATGTCAGATCCTGGCTGAGAGATGAGCTAATAATGACTGTGGGTTAGTCACAAAGATGAGAGATTACTTTTACTATTTACAAAAGACAGAACGTTTAAGATTCTTATGCTAGCATTTAAAAAATGTCAGAGGATGATACAAACATTTCTAAATCCAGTGCTTACCTTCAGAAGAAAGATAAATGGTTATTTATCTGGAGCTCTGCAGCCTTTTAAATCTCGGAGAGTATTCCCCGGTTACAAAGTCCTCAGTTTTTAAAATTCCTTGATGGTGCACTGGGAACTGGAGAGGGTTATTCAGCCTGAGAAGTTTCCAGTTGCTATGGAGAGAGCTGCTCTGAAGGTAACAATGAAGGTGGATAAAAGTGAGAACACTTTCTGTCTGGCAGATTTCCAGGATAATCAAATAAATGTGGTTAATGAATCAGAATTTTTATATCAATATTTACCAGTTTGCTAAGAATCATCTACAGTCACTTGCCTTTTAAAGGATGGAATCTAGACCAAAGGATCTCACCTTGCAAAATGGAAAGACTGCAAAGCCAAGACTTTTTCTTTCCAGTTGATTCTTTGGTAACTGTTTTATCCAGATTCAAACCAAGCATTTGCTGAGAAAATGTGTACTCGTTAGAAACTTATGTATTTCACAAGGGACAGAGATTTAAAAAGATTAAGGCATTCATAAATACATGCTTTCTGACAAAAAAGAAAGCACAGTATAACCTGTGAAAGCCAGAACCTGTGCAAGGTGGAAACCTGTCAGAGAAGGAAAACACAAATATTTTCCACTGAAAGAAGGGATAGAAAAGCAGTAAGGTTGCACACTGTCAAAGGCGTTAAAGCCGTGACAACCAAAGGCAGTCCTGTTGAGTTCTAGCTCTCAAAGGTTTCACTGTATTTGTTGAAGAAATAAAATTTTACCTTGGAGATAAGTGGATGCAAGTGGGGGACAGTAATTAGCATGTATCTATTATAATCCTCAGAGTCTTGGATAAAACCATCCACTGCCATCAAGTCAACTCTGACTCATAGTGACCCCTATTGGCTTTCCAAGGCTGTAAATTTTTACAGAAGTAGATTGCCCATGGAGCAGCTTGTGGGTTTGAATTGCCGACCTTCTGGTTAGCAGTCAAATGCCTTAGGCACAGTGCCACCAGTGGTCCTTAGAATCTGGAATAGAAGTTATCATATTTGACCCTTCAGATTCTGCAAAACACAGGCTCTCAGTAAATTATTAGCTAATAATAAATTTTATAGAAAGTAAAAGTTGTTAAAACCGAAGCTTTCAAAGCAAGTAGTACATAGTTCATGGACACACAAAGTGAATCAGAAGAATGTGCTAGATGGATAGACACTTCTGAGTTCAATTCTAGAATGTGGGATTGGGGCAGGAGGCTGCAGGTGGTGTGGCAGAGAAAAATAGAAGAGAAAGTAGTCAGAATAATTAGTCCTATCTATCACTAATTGGATATGAAAACTGAAACCAGCAGGTAAGTAATCCTGAGAGAATGCTAATAGCACTGATAGAAATAGGAAGGACAGAATTCTCAGAAGACATGCAACTTTTCTTAAATAACCCATCATGCAGCACTTGAGGATTTATGTCAACTGTCAAGGGAAGGACTTGGCCTGTTTCTCTTGAGCTCTAGGGTGAGATTAACTGGTGTTAGAGTCCAGAATCATCCCTTCAAACAGTGGAGTGAAGAGTTGGACTGAAGTGAAAACCTCCAAGCTGAGAAAGCAGTGGAAGCAGAGAAGCAAGGAAGGAATGGGCTCAAGACCGGAGGGAGGATGGGACCGGACCAGAGGAGAACTGAACCACAGCCCCCTGTGCAGGCTTTTGGCCTGCTGCCATCCCCACAGCAGGGACCTCTTGAGCATCATTTTGAGGCTCTATTTTATCCCAGTCTTATCCTTTTTCTAAAGAAAATCTGTCCAATACCTCTAGTGATTCGACAAACTATATGGCCAGCCATTACCTGATACCTCTAAGTGCCTGTGTTTTGCCTTATTCCTCACTGTGAGGAATTAAGCCCTCACTTCCTCACCCAACTCCAATTAGCGTGTCACTGAATCTGTCCTGAGGAGCTTTCGTAGCACTGTAGTTAAAGCATTGGACTGCTAGCCAAAAGGTTCAAACCCACCAGCAGCTCTACAGAAGAAAGATGAGGTGGTCTGCTTCTGTAAAGATTATAGCCTTGGAAACCCTATGGGGCTGTTCTACTCTATTCTGTCCTATATAGTTGCTATGAGTCGAAATCAATTTGATGGCAGGGAGTATGGTTTGGTTTAAATCTGTCCTCCATTCCCAAGTCCCACAGTGTAACCTGCTTAGTTGCTTCAGGTCTGGATCCTGATTTGCTCTGATCAGTCCTCTCAGGAAGAGTGGTTCTGCTGGAACTTTTCTGTCTTCCCTATTCCCCTATGCCAGTGATCAGACTCTAATTAACTCACTCCTGTTGAGTTGGTTCCAACTCATAGTAACCCCTCCTTGGGTTTCCAAAGCAGTACCACTATAGAAGTAGATTGCCCCATCTTCCTTCTGAGGAGCAGCTGGTGGGTTTGAACCACCAACCTTCTAGTTAGCAGTCAAATGTCGACTAAAAAAAAAAAAAAAACCCACTGCTGTAAAGCTGTATCCTACTCATACCGACCCTGCCTTGGGTTTCTGAGGCAGTATCACTATGGAAGTAGATTGCCCAACCTTCCTTCCAAGGAGTGGCTGGTGGGTTTGAATCACCAGCCTTCTGGTTAGTAGTCAAATGCCTACTTAAAGAAAAAAAAAACCCACTGCCGTACAGTTGTATCCAACTCATAGCTACCCCTCCTTGGGTTTCTGAGGCAGTATCATTATGGAAGTAGATTGCCCAACCTTCCTTCCAAAGAGTGGCTGGTGGGTTTGAAGCACCAGCCTTCTGGTTGGCAGCCAAATGCCTTAGGCACTACGACTAGAAGTACCAAATTACTTGGCATGAGAGTCTCTGCAGCTAAAGACTCACTCCTAATTAAGCCCCACTGTATCACCTCTCTGAGGAATTCCCTAACACCAACCACCAGTCTCAACAATCCCAAGTACCTCTACCATTCTAACTACAACTCACATGATTCCAAACTACATGAAATTCCTCTCATTGTCATGTGCCAGAGCCAGCTCCATTTGGCCCCAAGTTTGCTCCATCCTTATATTCATACCTACAATCCGGCCACCAACCATGTTCCCATTCCCTTCATGTGATGAGGCAAGGTTGAGGAGGGGCAGGAGAAGTCCCAGATTTGTCCACCCAAGTGGACAAATCAGTGAAGGGCTGGTAGGCAGATACAAGAAAGGAGGGGGAGCAATAAGGGACAAACCTTTGGCTGAACTTGTAGCTATCACCTTTTTCTCCTGACTCTGGGTTGTAGCTTAAATGCTTCACAACCAACCTGCCTGCTTCTTCAACAAACCTGAAACAAAGTTTTTCTTAAGAATGTTTATATTTTCAATTCAAACCAGCTTCTGAGGGTAATGAATTTCACATGTTAACCCACTGGGTAAAGAAGGAGCTAATTTACTTCTGATTTATATTAGCAATGTATTTAGCCCACATTTGGAATCAGTCTTGTCTGATGCAGTATTTCCTGAGATATAGGAGCTAATTTGTGCTATGACAGGAAGACCTAGTTGTTGAAGGTGCAGGTGTCCTAAGCACTTAGTCCTTTTTTAAGTCTAGTTCCAATTCTTTGTCTTTTGGTGTGTCCTGACCTTCAAATTTCTCCATCATATCAATATAATATGTTTACACACGTGCCTTGCCTTGTCTTGATTCCAAGGCCCACCAGAATACATCAAATACAACAGGATGGAAGCAATGTAAGAAAAGACCCAAAACAAGGACACAGACATCTTGTGGGTATAGTTCAGGGCTGCCATGTGCAATTGCACAGGTTGGGCATTGTGCAACTCTAAGGATCAATATTAAATTCTGTAATCATCATAGATTTAAAT